GGCAGAAAAAGATAGGTAGATGCAGGTAAATGCCAGATGAGCAGATAAAAAGTAGCCACTGTGGTGAAGTTGCAGCCCTGCAAAAAAGCGAGTCAATCTCTGAGAGAACGCAAAAAAACTGCAATGAAAAAAAGTCGAAAGTTTTTGTGAAATCTAAAAACTAAAAAACAATAACAGCGATGGATAATTCAAATCAACCAAGTTCAGAACCAGGACCCAGCTATCCCAGCTATCCACCGACCCTAGAATCGACACCACCCTCTGATCAGAAATCAGACGATTTGTTGAATTTACCGTACAATCCTGCTTTTTTACCATCAACTCCGCTTCACTTTTCTACAAGTGAATTGCCGCCATATCCAACCAGCAGTTCAAGTGCCTACTATCCACAAGATAGAAACAACAATCCAAAGCAGCAACACCAATTTAGCAATGACCAGTTTCAGCAAGGAAATTATCCAGCGGCCATTAATGCCTACGTCCCTCAAAGTTTATCAGCTGCAGCAGCTGATCCACCCCAAGTTAATGCAGCCATTTGGAATCAAAATTCTTTAGGGAACAATCTTACTGTAAAGGAGCACAACAATAACGTGTCAGAGTTTACCGGGCAGGAATTCAAACATGCCAGTAAGTGGGAGGTCACAATTTTTTAATCTTCTTTGTACCTTTTTTTAATTTATCATTTTTTGTACCTTTGTTTTGTTCAGAGAATCTGTGCATTATAGTGGTAGTTGTCATTATCATTGTGTGCTTCTTTGTGGCAATATCTAATGGTAATAGTGGTGGTGGGTACCGCTCTCACGGAGGAAGTCATCACCACTCAACAATTAAATTTAAAGTAAAAAACAAGTACTCTTGGAAGAGTAAACGTGGATAAAATTCAAACAAAAAAAATTTGACATTGAAATAATAAAATTTTTGTTTTTAATCTGTTTTGTGTGTGTGTAAACTTGCAAAAAAAGTACTGCAAACNACATTGAAATAATAAAATTTTTGTTTTTAATCTGTTTTGTGTGTGTGTAAACTTGCAAAAAAAGTACTGCAAACAAATTGGGCACTTGTACATTTGCTATATCGCTCGTTGGCAGTCCATTTTTCTCTCTGCGACCAGTACATGCACTGGACAGTCTAAATGAGAGAAGAGATGATAGCGAGAAAGAAAAGAAAAAGAAGAAAAAGAGCAGCACTCTTCACTGCAGATGGATGGAAGTGTGAAAGGGAGTGAGCTAGCCAGCTAGCTTGCCAGCACTGCCTTTCAAGGTCGGCGATAAATAAAACAGACGGTGACTGAAGAAGTGGTAGTAGTAGTAGTACGACAGGGAAGAAAGGGAATGGAGGGAATGTCTCGTCTGCCCGGTTGCTGTGCACTTCTTCACTGCAGATGGCCTGGCACTGGCGAGAGAAGAGAAGAAGAAAAGAAGCAAAACACCAGCTCGAATGAGCGAGTGAGCATGTGAGCAACACAGAAGATAGAGAGATTGAAAAAACACGAGTAAATTTGTGAGTTGTAATTTGTGCAAAAACAGTTTTATAAATCGGCGTTGAGAAATGGAGGAAAATAATCCTAGCTCTTCATCTGCCGCTCAGCTTCCCTACCCACCGGTGGGATTCAATCCGGACCTACTACCACCACTTCCACCGTTGCCAACAAACGTAAACAAATTTTCCTCAACTTTTCAATCCTCTCCATCAGCTCCCTCAGCACCCCCAGAAACATCCACCTCGGCCCACAGCAACCTGGCGTACAATCCCGACTACACGCCCGCCTCTCCGCCGCCCGCCTACACGGCCGCCTCGCCCACTGCACCGCCCCTCTCCTTTCCTGCTGACCATTCCCTAAATAACAACAACAACGCCAATGGCGACAGTAGCCACCACTACTACTACAACAACTTTCAAGGAGAGCCTATCAAGCCGTACAGCCCGCCCAGTTTGCCCGCGGCCAGCTTTACCGAAGACCAAGTGGCCCCAGCAGCCCCAACACCAGCTCCACCGTTGCTGACGCACGCCGATGGCAGTGCAGTGTCGCCGGAACTGGCCGCCCAGGCCCTGGCTGAAGTCGAGGCGGAACGTCGCACTACAAAGTACAAGATTGTCAAATTTCTAAGTAAGCTCAGTTTGAAACAAAAACATTATTGTACAAAAATTAAAGTCTGTTTTTAATTTTAATTTTTTTAGAATCAGACAACTTTGTCTTTCTTCTCATTGTACTGGCCGTCATTTCTGCCATCTACCTAATACTTAGAAACAACCCCCAGTTTAAAAAATAAAAACAGTTTTTTGAGTGCTTGCTTGGGGAAACGAGTTTGCTCTAAGGTGAATTACCATTCAAGGACAGACTGGAGCAAAAAATGTGTGCGTCTTGAGAGGAAAGAGAAGGGGGTAATGCAGTTGTCGTGCAAAAATGGACAGTAAAAAACATCAGATAAACAGCAAAATCATAAAAAACAACAAAGAGCAGTAGATTCAATCAAACTTTCTCTTTGTCAAATTCACACTGAGCAGGCTGCGCAATAGCTAAAAATGATGAGAGGTAAATAAAAATAAATTTTTGAAAAATACGTAAACGGTAATGATAATGTAATGCAGTCAGCAGCAAAACACAAATACAACAAATAAAAACATTTGTATCTACAGAAAACGAGTTTGCCAGTCTCAAGGACACGGAAACAAAAAGAGGCAGTTACAAGAAGGGAGTGATGCAAAATTATGTGTGACGTGTTTTG